TACCATTCTGCAATAAAAAGAGTCAGGGTTCTTTGGAGAAATGGCTCAGTCTAGAGCTGGGCAAGGACAATACAAGATGAGCCTGGAGCTTCTTGTACTAAAAATAAGGAAATGTGCAAAAAAGGATGGGCAATTGTCAAAGGCCTATAGGAGCCAATATGATTGAGGGCCCAATGGCCAAAGCTGGAATAATTTGAGTTACAAAATAAATAATATAGTGTTAAATTATGAGTCCATGTAAATATAAATAATTGACTAAATGGGGAGAAGAAAAACATTTTCCCTATAGAAGAATTCCAAATAATATAAATATATACATATACCCTTCCCTCCAGGAGGTGGAGCTAAATCCCCATCCCCTTGAGTAAGGGTTTGACTTACTTTAAAAAACAGCATATGGCCCAGGCAGGGGTGTGGTTCAGTGGATTGAGCTTTGTTCCATGGACTGAGAGGCTGCAGGTTCCATCCCCAGTAGGCGGTGTGCAGGAGGCAGCAGATCCATGTTTCACTCTCACATTGATGTTTCTCTCTCTCTCCCTAAAAAATCAATAAAAACATACTTAATAACAAAAAGACTTCTTTAAAAAAAAAGAAAAAGAAAAAAGAAAAGGAGAAACTTGGTAGATAGCACCTTAACCAAGTAATGTCATGTGGAGATCATTCACCTATAAAGTGGATAAGGAAGGCACTTAACCTCTGTGGTCTTCTTTCCAAAAACCTGTTACCCTAATGTAATCATGAGAGGAACATTAAACAAATCCAAACTGAGGGATATTCTACAACATACCTCCGTACACCTCAAAACTGTCAAGGTCATGAGAAACAAGGGGAAGACTGAGAAACCATTTTAGACCACATGAGGCCAAGGAGAAATGACAACTAAATGCAATGTAGCATTCTGGATAGGATCTTGGAACAGAATAAGGCAATTAATAGACAAATGAGTTAATGTTAACATAACAATGCTGGTTTCTTAGTTTTGACAAGCATACCCTAGTTATGTAAGATTAGAACTAATTAGAGGTAAGTTGTACATCTGAAACTAATATAATATTGTATGTAAACTGTAACTGAAAAATAAAAAGAACATTAAGGGTAAACTGAAATTGGGTGAGAAGACTGAGAACTCTTAGACTACTATTACAACTTCTCTGAAGGTCTGAAAGTATTCCAAAACTAAGAATTGTAAAAAAGAAAATTTCAGAGATCCAGATCAAATATACAGAAGCATCCTGTATCAAAATTAAAAGATTTGACATAAATTTTCAATACTGTTAGCCCAGTGGACATCTAACTTACAGCCAATGCTGATTGTCCTTCCTTCCTCAAAAAGTGGTTTATACTAAGAGGCAGTACCTCTAATCTCAACTGGCCATTTCCATAAGTCCTTTGGATGAAAAGATGATCAAAAAACAAAAGTCTGAACAACTTGGTAAAAGCAATGTAGAGTTTATATGAATAACTGTTAGTAAAGGCATCTCCAAGTTTTGGAATCTAGTTAATTTTACCAGACATTTAAGTCTCCATTGTAGTTTTAAAATAACAAATAAAAATAGATTCGAGGACTTTAAGACAAACCTTGGCAGTACCATATGTTCCCATTTAATGAGTAAGAATTTCTGAGTATGAGTTTTTTTTTAAATCTACATTTAAAAAAAGCAGTTGCTTGACAAACTGAGGTATGAGTAAAAGGAGGTAATGTTAAGACTTATAATGAGATACCTTAATATCTAATGTTAATTTGATATTTAATATGAAATATTTAAACTGAAACTGTCTTTGGCAAACCAACATGTATGGCTACCCTAGCTATAAGATCTCATTTTGAGACACACAGTTACATTGTAATAGAGAAAATATTATGATGGCCTACTTCCTAGTAATTAAAATTTTAATAAGAAACAATCCAAAATACAAGTTACATTCTCAATTTTACAATACAGTAAGCAGTGATAAAGTGAGGTACCGATTTGGTCTATAAAAACCTAAGCCATTATTAATATGTACAGAAAAAGATGTTATCTATATAAAAAATGACTAAAAAGTACTATGATTTTAACATAATTACTTCACACTGTAGATATGCCTGTATGGACATAAATGATTTAAGTCTGTTTCTACATGTGCAGATTTTAAATTTGGAGCCATACTGTGTATAAAAATTGGAGCTAAAGAATGACTGCTCAAAAAACAAAAAACTCTTCCTAAAAGATGAGTAACTCAGTAAACAACTTATCCAAAAAACATTTAAAATAGAAGATATTTAATTTTCAGTTTAATGAGGTAATCCACAATTAATGACAGGATAACTTTTTATTAATAAAACATCTATTTTCTCGGTCAAGTTGATAGATGTCTTATTAAATCTGCACACTGGAAGTGCCTAAGATTTTTGTAAAACTTTTACAATAGATAAAATTAGGCTAGTCTAGAAGATTTCAGAATGTAAAGTCATAGTAAACACAACCCCCTAGTGTCGATCTTCATTGCTATACACTCCAAAAATTATGTGTCTCTGACTAAAACCAACCAAACCCTAAACCCCCACAAAAATTAAAATCTAGGACAAATGAATTCAGATTTAGTAGTTTAAATAATGTTGGTAAATTCTATCTTATTCATGCAACATACATCTCAAAACTCAATTATGATATAATTAGGTATACAGTATTTTAAATATAAAACCAAATGTGTTATCTCAAATCTAAGTCAATGTCATAAATAACTTATCCAACCAATTAAATTAACTGACCTAAGCATTTTTAGTATTATTTTTATATTAATAGTCAATTACTTCCCCCTTCTAACAACTTAGTACACTTATTTTATAGAGCAAGGTTTCAGAATGACAAACATCTTCCTTTCATTTTTAAGAACAGTCTAGAGATACAAAACAGACCATAGGAAAAACAATGAGAAATGAAAGAAATCTCCTGTCGTCCTTAGAAATACTGAGCTCTAAACTTAAGAAACAATTCTAAGTTGAGAAATGAAAAAAAAAAAAAAAAAGGAAGAGAAGAGGCAATATAAAAACTCCTAAAATGTAGAAGAAATTAGACTAGTTTAGTTTTCTTTAATATCTTCTTTAATAGGACATTACATCACACAACGGAGCCCCCAGCGTGTCAATTAAACAAGGGGATGAAGGGGATGTAAATCCATATGAAGGAGAATGGAAACAAGTTTAATCTTAACCCCAATTCCTTTTGGCAACTAAAGGAAATACAGAATACAGCCGACCGATTCTCTCTGTATTTTATCAAGTCTTTGAAGACACCATAACAGTTTTATGACAAACTTTGCTGTGATCTGTTAAAGAATCTTCAAATTAAAATGACAAGGATGTTTAAGAATTTTAATTTTTCCCTTATAGCAGATTTAGCTCAAACACAATAAAAAGGGGACTATACTAATAATGCTCACATAGAGGATGAGAATTAATGCCTTATGTAAGATCAATGCCGCTATTCCCATCACTGAAATATAGAGTTAAATATGTCTTCAGCTGCTTATAAAAAAGGGTTAAATACAAGAACAAAAAACTTTTATTCTGAATAAGAGTCAATAAAACAAATGAAAAAAAAAAATAACCCCAAACTTGTAAATGGTTTTTAAATGATTTGTTGCTAAACATAAACATACATATATTCAAAGCACTTAAAAAAACTTTTAAATTCTAATTTAACCAGAACTTCTATAATACCCACCACAAGCAATTAGGCAAATTCTAATTAGTGGTCTGGTAATGAACATGTAGGGAAATAACATATTAAACCTGAAACTTAGGAAATTAAATACATGAAAAAAATCATTATTTTAAAGTAATAGCATAAGAATCGGAATTGCTAAGAAACTATCACCAATGAAGATTTTCCTTGAAAATATCTTACTTTAAACTTACAGTGCAGGCAGACAAGGTGGGCAGAACATGCACAGCTACAAAACAAATGCTGTGATGAGTTACAGCAGAAAGAGGGAATGCATTTTTTAATCCACAGGATCAGATTTGTGGCTCTAAGCAATTACCAGTAAATATTTGATTGTTCTTCCTATTATATTAACCTTAAAATTTAAACTGAGTTATAGCAGTTTCACTTGTAAAGTTAATAGATGACAAAAGCAAATTAGGAGAATCTTAAAATTAGTCTCCCTTAACTGGGTAGGATTTACCTCATCCATATGAACAAACATACTTCCTCATCGTTGGAACCAAATAAATGTGCATACTAGCTTATTTTAATACTTTTCTAGTTTAGATGGAAGTCATACTATACAGACTTTGATTTTAGGAACCAACACAAAGTAAACTCTAAAACCAATGACTCAAAAAGGAAAGGAGGGATAAGGTTCTGGGAATTAACCCAGCCACAAGTCATTCCAATCTTCCTGTTAATGCAAAATCCATTCTAGAATTGGTAAAATCGTTAATAACTTCCAAAAACTCCTCCAAAATTATGTGTTTCATTTCAAATTAAAGAACTTGAAGAATTTTCAAAGAATCCAATATAATTTATAAAATATAAATCTTTACCAGTTCACATACGTTCCATATTTTGTAATAAATAATTAGGCTTGCTGATATTTCATTATGACATGTACTTCAGAACTTAAGTTTTTCATAAGGGCTCACTAACGATCCAACGGCTTTAGGAATTTATCACTTATCTACAGGGTATACCTAGGCAGGCAGCTATAAGCCAAGTCATACAGCAAGTTGAAATATTCCAACCTCAAAGACAGGAAACAATCAGAGGAGAAAATGACACATGATCGCAATATACTAAGGCAGCAGGTAAGTCATTCTTCACCTAGATCAGTGGCTGCCAATAAAAGTGTGTACACAAATTTAACAAATGAGTCTGCTCTAGTTTAACTAACGAACCTGCCTCTGAGCTGAGAGGGAGATAAGAATTGCACTTGCAATTCTAGCTGATGAATTCATTAGATCTTTATAAGGCAAATAATGTGGAAAGTTAGAACAGAATTTCTAGAACCATTTATCCTGTGATGTTGTAAAATCAAAGTACTACTTTATTAAATGAGTTATTTTACACAATATGAACATCAATATAATTACAATCGTAAAAAATTTTTTTATAACAAGGATGGACTGATTTTCAGATTTCCAAATTAGAGTCAACTGTACATTTACACAGAATTGTCTTTGCATGAAGCCCAAAAGGGAACAGCATAAAAATGAGTGTTTCTGTAGCCCCTTTATTTTTGCTGATCAACAGTTTGTTAGAAAAGCAGCTGCAGGTTTGTTACCTAAGGTCTGAGACAGTAGAAGAGTCAAAGGTGTCATGAATTCACCTAAAAAACATAAACAAAATTTTCTGTGAAGCTTAGCATTGCACAAATACAACTTATATACATTTCAAATGCCCACATAGACACACAACATGCCTAAGCTATCAAGTTACTGTGATAGCTCTCTCAACAGGATTTTATAAACAGAACTCTGATTTATTTAAAAGAAATATTTTTCACACCACCACCATCACACCATTTAGGAGGAAAAAAACAACCACCACCCAACCATACAGAAAGTAAAAATTATTTTCAAGCAACTACCAAGTTTATACAGTGTACCTGCATTTTGCCCTGTATTTTAATGCTTAAAAGCTCTGCTAAGCACTGTTAAGTAAAATACCTGCAAAGGCACTTGGGAACATTGGTCTGCACTACTTCTCTAAGCAAGGCCTTCAATACCTTTGTAATAGTATTTTCTTTAAGCTGACAAATGTCATCCATTCTTGGACCAGAGTTGGCCAGCATCCCTTCACCCCCCCCCCCCCCCCCCCATTTCTGGCTACAGTAGTAAATAGAACTTCTATGTAGTAAGGAACTTCTATTTCATCAGGATATGGTCTGGGAAAATGGATTTTCAATAATTATAAAGTTAAACATTAACTTTCACATGATCTGAAATTAAACTCAATTTCACAGTTATAGAAGGCAATTCTGTTCTTATATACAACCCTGACATTAACAAAACAAAAGGTCAATTACCTGTAAACAACTTTATGCCTGAACATCAGCCAATTCTGGAGGAAGTGGAGTCTTAGGATGCTTGCTCTCAAAGTGCTGCTTGAAGGTCTTAGGGTCTGGCATTTGTGTCTAATTATAAAAATTGTACCAAAAAGGAGTTAGACCTTATTCATAAAATAAAATGTATAAACTTTTAAAGTCCTGAGCCTGCTTATGCTAGACAATCACTGGTATATAAAAAATAACCATGTAGCCTGCTGGTGTGGCTCACTGGTTCAGCATGGACCCATGCACCAAGAGGTCGCTGGTTCAATTCCCATTCACGGCACATGCCTAGATTGTGGGCCCAATCCCCAGTAGGGGGCATATAGAAGGCGGCCAATCAATGTTCTCTCTCATCGATATTTCTATCTCTCTCTCCCTCTCCCTCTACCTTTCTCTCTGATTTTATTTTTTTTTAAATGACCATGTAATGAAAGTTTTAGCAGTCCCACATTTCACATAGGGGTGGGTCACAGAGAATGAAGAATTCTGTGTATATAACAGCAAATAGGTAGCTTGTACTGAACTATTATTGTTAGGCATGTTTCTTGAAATCTCACTCAACTATCCTAGTAATCTTAAATTAGTTCCTACTATCCTCATTTTACATAAGCAAACAAAACCCTAGAACTTTATTTGCCCAAGACTTATACTTTACCCTTGTACTAGGTATTGCAGCTCTCAAATACTACACTATACTGACTTCCCTAGGCAAGGACCTTCAATTATTTATTTTTTATAACAGTCAATTAACAAAACATAAAAGTTTTTTATTTTGAATATGTGAACTACTAAAGTACTTTTAAGTCAAAGTACTTCTTTATCAGTAATTTAGTGAATTTTCCTTTTACCCTGTATCTCTCCAAAAAGATCTGAAGCTGCTCAATTTCATTATTTTGAGTGTATCAAAGCTCAATATGAACAAGAATATTTAACGTAACAGGTATTCTCTCTCTCTCTTTTATGAACTTAGGAACTACTATTTCATCAGTAATGATTTCAATAATTAATCCAGAAATCATGTCTTATCAGGATCCCTTCCTATCCATAGCACCAATCCTACTCACGTATAGGGCTTTGGAAAAAAGGTAAAATTTATATTTATATTTACGTATGTATTAAACCAACCTCACTATGTATATTTCCTTTGGAATGTCTATGTACTACTTCAAGGGTGGTGAGCTTACAGAGGAAAGAGACTCTGGCTTTTAAAACTTATTTTGTCCAGAGGATAAACTCTAGAGCTGGACTACCTGGGTTTAGATCCCAGCTCTCCTATGTACTAGTTGGGTGACCCTGTGCAAGCAATATAATCCCTAAGACTCAATTTATTCTTCTGTAAAATGAATATAATAAAAATATTTTATCTCATTGGGTTGTTGTATAGATTAATGGGTTCATACATTTAAAACTCCTGGATCAGTGCCTGGCATATGGTAAGCACTCAACAGCAGCTATAATTATTCTTCAAATATAATGAAACCCATAAATTCTAGTAAAAGCCCTCAATGTGAACAAACTCTATATAGTTTTACAGACATCCTAACTATGGATATAATGAAAGAAATAAAAAGCCAACTGTATAACAAGAGTTTTATTTATTAGTATCTTATGTAGTTCTAAACTGAGACTGTAGACTCTGACTTCTTTGTGTGTGTGTGTGTGTGTGTGTGGTATGTGCCCCTAGCAGGAACCAAACCCAGGACTCTCTGGTCTGCAGGCCGACTCTCAACCACTGAGCCAAAATGGCCAGGGCAACTCTGACTTCTTTATAAGTTCAAAGTGTATTGTTTTCCCTTAAGAAGGCATCTTTATTCTCCCTGAGGACTTTGCTTTGTTCAGTCCTTTCCCTAACACCTAGAAAACTGTCTGGTCACCGGAGCCATTCAATAAAATATTTGTTGAATGAAGAAGGATGAATTCCTAAAATAACCAGCTCTCAAATCTACTATTTCAAGTAAAGCATTTATTTTGCCACGACTGCAAAATGTTAACCTACACAACCCAATCTCAAATGAAAGAACAGTCCATGGGAAAGTTATATCTTTTCATTTCCCTTACCCTACAGACAGTGCAGGTATATATTAAGGCAGCTTTGGCAGCAGCCTTTTGGTCATGTCCTTGTTTCTTCTTTTGTCCAGCTTGCTTTTTGGCATTTTTCTGCTGAGACTGAATCTTCTGCTGTCCACGAGCCATATCTAAAAACAGAAGTTGAAGCATTAGAGTGATTTATTTACTGTAATACAGAGTAATCTAAACATGGTAACTCTCAGAGTTGATGATTTAAGTTTTATAGAAATAGTTGTTAATCAAAATGTATGGGTTTTCAAAATTTCACAAACAATGCTACTAGAGAATCAACTGGTACAGCTATTGTGGAAAACTGTCTGCAGTTGTTGACTCTATAACCTAACAATTCTACATTGGCATATATCCAGCGGAAATGCCCACACTGTTATATATCCAACAGAAATGAAAATGTATGTACACCAGAAGACATAGTACAAGAATGTTCAGAGCACCAGTTTCCAACACTGGAAATAATCCAAATGTATATTAATAGTAAAATGGATACGTAATTTGTATAGTTATACAATGAAATATTATGCAGCATTAAAAAAGAAGAAACTATATTACAGGTAACAACATGACAATATCTCAGTATTAAAGGAAAGAAGTCCAATACAAAGAACATATGTTGTGTCAAGTTCAAAACAGGCAAAGCTAATCTGGAAGGTAGTGAATGGAAAGAAAGAGCATGAGGGGGATTGTGAGTTGCTGATGTTCTACATCTTGATTTTGGTAATGGTTATACAGTTGTGTACACTTGTAAAAATCACTGAGCTAGACACTTAAGATTTTTGTACTTTACTATATGTAATCTTTAAGAGTTTACCAAAAAAAGTTAGCCTCCTTCCACAATCATTTGTTTGGTCATTTTACAAAGGTACTTTCCCCTTCCACTATTCACTGTTGTGACCTGAGACTTACAACTTGAAGAGAAATCAGAGCTGTCATCTAATGCCTCTAAATGAAATAATAGGAGCGATGAGAACTGTTCTCTTAAATACTTAGGTTTCATAAAACTACTGTGCAATTCTAAATCTTTCTTAAAAATTGGTCTTCACAGGATTACTGGACAAATAATTAAATAAGATTAAATGAGCTCCCAGTTGAGAGAATAAACCTCATAAAAGAGTAAGAATACTTATATAAAAATGAAAGATAACACTTTCTACTACTGGTGGATTATAAATTTTAAAACTTCAAATCATTGCAGGACATAAACATACAACGGATCTACCGTAACTTCATCAGAAAGGAGGGCTGGCGTTTTTTTCTGACTGGAACCCTAACTAGTTAATGGATATCAGGTCAAAGCATTTCATAGAAACACGTAAGCTTCTCCCAAAAAGGAAAAAGGAAACAAAAAATATATATATACCAATTAGACAAGATTCCCCTAGCATTAAACACTGAACTGAAGCCAGTTGGATATTTTAACAAATTAAAAAAATGTTTAGTATGCTAGCCTAACATAAGAACCCTATTCCCACCAAATAATGGCAAATATTACCAGATGTGTTAGTCCTGAAGAGTAAACTTCCATTTTTGTTTTGTGTTTTTTTTTCAACCAAATTCCAAGCCAAATGGAGTAATTTTTTTTTTTTTTTTAAGCACATTTAAGGATATCTTTGTGCCCTGGCTGGTTTGGTTCAGTGGTTAGAGCATCAGTCTGAAGACCAAAGAGACTCGGGTTCCATCCCTGGTCAAGGGCACATACCTTGGCTGTGGGTTTGATCCCCGGACTCAGTCGAAGTCCTGCAGGAGGCAACAAATCAATGTCTCTCTCACATCGATGTTTTTCTCTCTCCTCCCTCCCTCTTCCACTCTCTCTAAAAATCAATGGAAAAAATATCCTCCGGTGAGGATTAACCAAAAAAAAAAAAAAAAGGTATCTTTGATATCTATAAGTTGTTAACTATTTCAATAACACTTTCAGGCAGTAATCTGTACAAAACCATGTCATTAGATACACAGTATTTTTTAACCTTTGTAATTATTTCTCCTAAAATATAACATTATGCAATAGATTTAACCCACTTTCCGTTGTAACTAAAAATCAACAAAAGTCATAAAGCTTTACTAGATAAAAGTTTGTAGTCGCTTTTTCTGACTTTTAAAACAGAAAACTTAACACCAGGTAAAGGAAGTAGAATCAAACAGTCTAAATTCATGAAGTAGGACCCTAACTTCTAACAATATACTGCATTGATTTCCTTTCTGAAAACAGAAATGCAAATGAACAAACCACCTGCTTTTGGGCAGTTCAATCTGGGAACTGTTCTCAAGCCAATCGGATTTTCTACAAAATCTTAAGCATAACTGCTCCTCGATTAAATGCGACAAAATGAGGGGCAAGAAGGTATTTATAAATACCTAAAAGCTGGTTTTTAATATGACTCATTTAGTGTGGTTTTTTGAAGGGGCTGTAAAGAGGGAAGTAGTAAAAAGAATAACGAGTTCTATTAAAATGAAGAGCTCTTGCAGGAGGCAACAAGTAAGCACTGCCCCAGAGAGTCTCTTAAAACCCACACCAGAATGAGTAAAGACAAGATTTTGGATCCAGGAAGTGGATCATTCTCCATAACCAAGAGGCCCGTGTAATGATCAACGTCCAGACCCCAGCTTTTAATTACATCCTTTTGGGAAGGGGAGAAGATGTAAGCACCTGGACTACAATCTATTTCACCCAACACTTCACTGACCTCAGCTGCAGGCTAGCCCACCTTTCTCCCCAAACCGGCCTACCCCGCCTCGGGGAGCCCCCTCCTCTTTCCTGCCACTAAGGGGCCACACAGCCCCCACCTACCCTCCACTCTTCACGGACCCTGGCCCTTGACGCGCCTCCTGGAGGCCCTGACTGCCCGAAACCCGGCCCCTTCGGCAACGAGGAGCCCGTGCGTCGAGAACCCGACCAGCTGCTGTCGCCAAGGGGTAAGGTTACCGCTCACTCCCGCGGCCGGCCTGCGACCCGGCCACCTGCAGGGCCTGGCAGGCACCCGAGCTCCCCTTCCTTCCCGCAGCCCGCGCCGGGGCAGGTCTAGCCTGGTCGCCCCCAGGGAGGCGGGGTAGGCCGGCAGCCCCTGGCGACCCGCGGCGACCACCAGTCCCCGCCGACCCCGCCGGCGAGCGCCCACCCCGGTTCCCGGCGTCCTGCGGCGTCAGCGCCGCCCCCACAGCCGCTCACCCGGGCCGGGACAGTCTTGCGTCGGAGAGACCGCGCAGCGCGAAGGGGTTGGGGGAGGTGTCCGGAGGCAGCGGAAAGGGGAGCGCACCCAGCACCGCTTGGGTCTCCTCCACCCACCAAAGAGGGGAAAGAGGAGAGCCGGGAACACAACAGCCCGCGCCTCGCGCCCGCCGTCGCCGCCGCCGCCGCTGCCGCCGCCGCCGCCGCGCGCGCCCGCCGCCTCAGTCTTGGGGAAGGCCACTGAGCCTCGTGCCCGCGCACGCCGCGCAGCTCTCCCAATTGCCCCAGTGCCCGCCCGCTCCTCGTAGTCCCCGCCCACTCGCCTTCCTGCTGCGAGCTCTGCCCGCCCCTGCCCTGCTCGCACGCCGGCGCCATTTCCGGTCGCGCGGGCCAATGGCAGAGCTCCCATATTACATAAGCGCGAGGGGCGGGGCCTGACCGCGACGGCCAGCCCTGCGTGATGGAGCTGCCAGAGACGTCGCTCTGTGTCCCGGTGCCCTCACCTTCCCTCCAGCCTTCCGTGTGTGGACCCCTTCAGCGGGCCCCAGGATCCTCGAGATCTCGGTCCTGGCAGGTGACGGTGCGCAACGAGTTTCACAAGTCGCTTGCTCGCTCCCTTGAGTGGCGCACAGGCCTCAACCCCCGCGTCCCTTCTCACGCGCCTCCTCTGCGGCGCCCTCTTGTGCACCGACCCGAGGAGGGGCCCGGGGAGGAGCGCCCGCGCCGGGGCGACGTGGGTCACCCACTGGGGAGCCCGCCACCCGCGCACACTGCCGCCCCCTCCCTCAGTGAGGCCGACGTGCCCCGCGGCCTTTAACGGGGCCGCACAGCCATTGTCCTCTCACCAGGGGCTCTTTACTTCGTTCCCACGGAAACCCTTCAATCTGAGGGTTTCAGTGAGTTCAAGATAATGCCTGTCAGCCTCGGTGAAAATTACTGGCGAGGCTTCCCTGAATGGTTTAGGCTGGCTGCTAACAATATACTGAGTTGCTAACTGGGAGTACGGTTAAGTTTCTGTTTTTGCGTCTTGATTTCCAGGCCACGATCTTTAACTTACAATATCTACCAAGAGCGATAGTGCTTGTAAAGCTCATTGTATCTGCTGACGAACCTGGAAACGGCATTTGAGACCCTTGCTTTATTCTGCATACCCCCTACCCCCTGCCCGCACCTTGGTTTGTAGTTGGATCTGACGACCACGGCAAAGGAAGCTTTTGCATTTGACATTCTCAGCTTGCCCGTAACCTCCACTCCCAAATTTGCCTGTCAGTGCCAGGAAATGTTAGTGGAATATAAATACAGCTCAAATGATCTGGAAAGGAGTGTACATACCACAGGATTGTTTAAAGTAGCCAGGAAGGCATTAGCTGCTTATTGCTCCTGGGTGATCTGGCTGTTCAGTCCTGCTTTTCATCCTCCTTGCAGCTCCTCTCACCTTCACTTTGTATACCTTTCCGACCATACTGCAGTTTTAAATTACATGTTTAAATTTTTAAAATATCTCTCTAGGATTCCAATGTAAGCTCATTTTCGTCACTGTTTACCCAGTGTCTAGCCATGTGTTAAACATTGTGGGCACTGAATAAATGGATATTGAACAAACTGGATGTGTTTAAGGAAAGCAGGACTTGTGTAACATGTCATGAAGCTATAACTTAATCATTAATAGCCACCATAACCATAATAATTGTATTAACCTGGCTAAAGGAGGTGGATGAGGTACTTGGAGACTCTACAGAGGGGAAATCCAAAGAGCTGTGTTTGCTTAGCCATGAGTGAGTGGACAGTGGAAAGGGATAGAGAAATCTGGCCGGCAGGATGTCTTTTTAACTAGAGAGGTGATTTCTGTTGTAAAATAGGATTAATGTGTCACTTGTTACCAAGGCCTATATAAAATGTTCATCAAAGCCAGTGGTTATTAAATTTTCGAGTTATACCACCTTTGAGAATCTGGTAAAAGCTATGGACTTTGCCCCAGAAAGTTCACATACATGTAAACATATCCTCAATGGTAGAGATTCTCAACCTTGGCACTACTGATACTTTGGGCTGGATAATTTTTTGTTATGGGGGACTGTCCTGGGGATTTTAGGATGTTTGGCAACATCCCTGTCCTCTAACCTCTTGATGTAACTGCCATCCCATCTCCAGTTTTGAGAACGAAAAATGTCTCCAGACACTGCCAGATGTCCACTGGGGTTCAAAATCTCTCCTGGTTGAGAACCACAGCTTAGAGGATATGGTATTATGGTGGTATTGAATCTTAGAAGCTATTGGTTGTAAGTCTCATTTATGTCCACTAAAATAAAATTACTGCCAATTGAATGACATAATGCTAAGGTACTCTTGTAATATACATCTCAATTTCAGAGATATTGAAATAGCTTTTAACGTAATGTGATTTATTTGAATAGCATCAAAAATAATCAAATACCTAGGAATAAACTTACCCCAAAAAGTACAGAACTTATATTCAGAACACTAAGAAAACATTTTTGAAAGAAATTGAAGATTATGGAAAATTAGTCCATGCTCATGGATCAAAAACCTTAATATTGTTAAAATGGCAATATTCCCCAAACTGATCTGTAGATTCAGTGTCCCCTCATCAAAATCTCTTCTGTAATCTTGGCATAAATCAACAAGCTTATTTTGAAATTCATCTGGAAATTTCAAGGAACCCAAGGGTAGTATAAGAAATATATTTGGTCTTTGTCCCCATTCCTGTCACAAAGTTTCTAAAACCCTGCCAAGATTTGGAAGAAGATCAAGTGCCCATCAGTAGATGAGTGGATAAAAAAAAAAAGAAAAAAGCCATGGCACATTTACACAGTGGAATACTACTTGGCTGCAAAAAAGAAGGAAATCTTACATTTTTAGACAGCATGGGTGGAAATGGAGAGTATTATGCTAAGTGAAATAAGCCTGTCAGAGAAAGACAAATATCATATTGTTTCAAGTATATGTAGAATCTAATGAACAAAAGAAACAAAATAGAAACAGACTCAGATTCAGAGAACAGACTGACAGCTGTCAGAGGGGAGGGATTTGGGGGGCTGGATGAAAAAGGTAAAGGGATTAAGCAAACAACAACAAAACAACCCTCATAGACAGATAAACAGAGGGAATGGAGGTTAGCGGGAGGTTGAAGAGGGTAAAGTGGGGATAGTGATGGAAGGAGACTTGACTTTGGGTGGTGAACACACAATACAATATACAGACTATGAAATAGAGAATTGTATACTTGAAACCTATATAATTTTATTAAACAATATGACCCCAGTATATTCAATAAAAAAAGTTTCTAAAACTTGGAATTATTTGGGGGGTGAGGTGGGTTGCGGTGCAGAAAGAAACTTGATTCAGTGCAAAGCAGCTTGATGGTAATGTAGAACCGCTGTCAGCTCTGGGGTCAGGTGGCCCTGGCGCCAAGTCCCTCTCCAGTTAGATAGCTCTTCCCTTTTTTGTAACACATTTTTCCCACTCTGGCTACTTTCTAGTCACTCTTCAACTTCCAGCTGAAATATCACATTCTAAGAAGCATTCCTTCGTTGAGCCCCCATCTAAATGATGATTCCTCTGGATATAGGCATCTGATAAATACTTGTTGAATGAATATATGCCTGAATAATCCCTCCAGTCGGAGCCCTCCTAAGTATCACAGAGCATGCCAAGTATAGATTTACATAGTGATAATAGTGTAAATATGGAGCTACCTACAAATATAACTTTATTGGGAGGATGGGGGAGTGAGAAGTCTGAATACGTGGTGGGGCAAGTTGGGGGAAGAGCTGAAAGAGAGCTAAATTCTCATCTGCCACAGTGGGAAGTCATACATAATGCCTAAAATTGGGGGGGGGGACCTTCCAAGAAATAGTAATATAAAAATGTTGTTTTAGAGGAATGTATATAAATACAATAATTGACTTAAAAATTCTAAAAAGTACCTGTGCCCCCCCCCCCCGAAGAATTTAGCAGATGGGAAACTGCTGGGGTTTTTTGTTTGTTTGTAACTAGTCTTGTAGGACTAGCTGAATTTTTAAACTGTGTGCATGTATTACTGTGGTAAAGCAAAAAATTAACGAAATGATTTTTATTTCTAATAATTGTCTAACCATGTTTGTTTCTAGGCAGTATGTATGGCTTCAGGAAGTTAGATCAATAAGTCCAGATATTAGCACCGTTGGCATCTCCTTGCAATTAGAGTCACTATGTTTTGTTCCAGGTAAGGGCATGTCTCAGTGTCTACCATTCCATTTCTTATAGTTCTTTGCATACCATCCTTATCATTAGACTCTCAAGCAGCTGAACAGGCTATGGAGAAAAGAATTTCCAAATTTAACCCTGGCCGGGTAGCTCAGTTGATTAGAGCATCGTCCCAATACACCAGGGTTGTAGATTTGAATCTTTGTCAGGGCACATATAAGAATCAACCAGTGAATGCATAAATAAGTGAAATAGCAAATCCATGTTCTCTCTCTCTCTCTCTCCCCCCCCCTTCCTTTCTCTTTAAAATAAAAAAAATTAAAAAATCAAACAATGTGCTCATTCTTGCTGTTTTTCTCTTTTTTGCTAGCTATTATTTAAATTAAGGTATAATTGTCATAACATATTAGTTTTGGGTGTACAATATGATTTTATATTGCCCGGCTGGTGTGGCTCAGTGGTTGAGCGTCGACCCATGCACCAAGAGGTCACAGGTTCAATTCCCGGTCAGGGCACATGCCCGGGTTGTGAGCCAAGTCTCCAGTGGGGGACATGCAGGAGGCGGCCAATCAGTGTTCTCTCTCATTGATGTTTCTATCTTTCTCTCTCCCTTTCCCTCTTTCTGAAATCAATAAAATGTTTTTATTAAACACACACATACACACACATATATATACATAAATGATTCTATATTTATATATATATATGAAAATGATCACCACAACACATGTAGTTAACATCTATCACCATATATCATTACAAAAACCATTTTTTCCTTGTGCTAAGGACTTTTAAGATACATCTTTTAGCAACTTTCAAAGATGCAATACAATATTATTAACTATAGTCACCATGCTGTTGTATATTACATCTACATGACTTACTTATTTTATAATTGGAAGTTCGTAGCTTTTCACCCCCTTTACCCATTTTGCCCATCCCCCCAGCCCTGGCAATCACCAATCTGTTGTT